GTTGCGGAGGAGCAGGTAGGCAGAGGGGAAGGTGGTGACGCCAAACTTCTCCACGAGCTCCTCCTCGCTGCTCAGCACCCTCCTCACTGCCACATTCTCGTACTGCAGCATGTCCAGTGCTACCTGCAAGCAGCAGCCCCTAGGTCAGATCAGGAGACAGCAGCATCCCCTACCCCACCGGGGATGCAGCAGGGCTATTTAGAACCCTGTATAAGACATTGCACCAGCAAGGCAGCATGCAAGGCAACTGGGGAGGCTGCTGCATGAGGACTTCCCTGTCAAAGGTACCCAAGCTTGAAGAGGAATGGGGGATAAATGCAGCTGTACCCACCTCTCTGCCTATGAAGGAGTTGCTTTTCTCAAATATAAGTGCCAAGTACTGGTCCTTGTTCCTCTGGAAGAAGGTGCGAACCTCCTCCACACTGCAAGAGAGAAGAGGATGGCAGCAGGTCCTCAGCATCAGCTGGATGCTCTGCCCTCACACCTGAAAGGAGCTAGGCTTTGGCAGGGGATGCTGGTGCAGGTTCAGCCCCATCAAGTGGGCAATTCTTTCCCACTAAAATTCCAGCCCAATTTTCTGCTCTGGTTCACAGGCTTTGAGAAAATCCACTGGGATCAGCCAAACAAAGCACAGGCAGGGCAGGGCAGGGGGGAGCTGCACACTCACCCAGGGAAATAAAACAATAATGAACTTGGAACCAGGACTACTTTTTTTTTTTTTTTGGCTAGGACACAGAGGCACCAGAGACTTGAAGCACGTGCCCAGCTTGACTGTCACTTTGGGAAAGCCAAATGCTCCTCCTGGGACAGTGGAGCAACTGCCTGCATCCAGTAAAGCCTGCAGATCCCAACAAATTAGTACTGAAGCAAGAAAACTCTTTCTTGGGACAGGAAAAAGCTGCTAATGGCAGCAGTCTCACTCAGTATGACATAGCACTGCCATGTCCCTGGCCCAGGCGCTGCTTGCTGTAACTAAGGCCCATCTCCTCTGGGCCACATAAGTGGCTCTAGCCTGGCCAGATCATCTACATCTCCCTGGGATGTGGGTGATGCAGCAGCTGCTCCGTGCTCATTTTTGGCTCAGGATTTTCCCTAAAACCTGCTCTCCATGGGACAGAGGCCATCATAGCCATTCCCCATCACACCAGCCCTACCTTGCTGGCTCCAGTGGAGGACAGGCAGGCGGCCAGGCGGCCTGGCTCTGCTCGAGGTTGGTGATGATGGCATGGCGCAGGTCCTCGACGGTGGCACTGGGATCTGCAGGGGGACAGGATGCCAAGGCGTCAGTTGTGGGGAAGCTGGTCCCACGGGCTGAGCTGAGGGAGCTGCTCTCAGCTGCCCCCCAGGCTCCCTAAGGCCCCAGTGCATGGGGGGCGTGGGCAGCAGAGCCACTTGCACCCAGGGAAAAAACTAAACAAAATAAACCACAAAAACTTGGCTCTGAATACTCACTGGTAATCCTTATCCCGTCTTCTGCCTTCTTGCTGAAAGCTCTGAAGAACTGAATGCGAAAAAAAAACCAACACAATGGGAAACTGGAGTGAGAGTTTGGAGTGGGACAAGGAGGCAGTGCTGCCCAGCAGGCAGAGGCTCCCCTCACACCGGCTCTGCCTCAGTTTCCCAACAACACTACAGCATGCTGACTAACATGAGCCACTGCAGAGAGAGTTCCTGGCCATCTTGCAGGGCATCCCTGGAGGGGAGGGATGCAGGCATGGGCTGGGACACACATCCAGTCAAGAGCTGAGTGCTGGCAGGCAGCAAGGCATGTGTCTCCAGGGGTCTCAGGGGGGCAGCCTGGTCCTTCAATCCAGTACCTCCCTGCTTCAGAGCTCTCATAAAACAGAAGGTTTCCACACACACACCCCCCACTTCTGGCCTGCCTCAGTGGTTCCAGTGCTTGCAGTACAGCCAGAGCAGTGAAACCAGGTTGCATCAGACCCGTGTTTGCTTTGCAGGCTGGGCTGCGAGCGCTGGCTGTTTGTAAAAGGTGTTTGGTGGGGACACGGGATGCAGAGCAACTGACTTCTTGGCACTGCCGCATCAGAACACCTCCCTGCCCTGGGAGATGTTTTGGTCAGTGTTCCACAGGCAGTGGGTGCTCAGGTAGAAGGTGCTTGTTGAGACCACAGGGCAGGGCTAGGGCACAAGCCAACCCACCTGGCAAACCACCAAACCTGACACCACCTTGGGCTGAGCCTGTAAACCGGGACTGAGGGCATACCTGATGAAACCTGTATTCCCCCTGTTCCATATCAAGGTGACCCTGGCTTTTGCTTCCTGTACTTGAAGCGCTTCAGCTTTATTGCTTGTGTTGGAGCAAGGCTCAGTTTGCAGTGTGAAAGACCACGAAACAGCACATTGACACAGCTAAGGAGCCAGGCATGGGCCCAGGAGGAGGAATGGCACTTAGCCAGCCACCGCAGGAGGCTCCCAGGAGAACTCTGTGTAGCCTCCTGCAGCATCCCTGCGCCCTCCTTCAAAATCTGTGCCTGCAACTGCTCTCTGCCCTCCAGCAGCCTTTCCCAGGCAGTTCCAATTCAGGTTTCAGACACTATCCTATCCTAGGAGAGATACAGCATCTACATTTCACCACGAAGCAGCATTTTGGTTTTCCCCCTCCGTGTTGCTACATCACCCAGCAGTTGTGCTGCCTGCAGTCTGGCTGCAGCTCTGTTTTGGGGAAGGGTGAAGCAGCTCCAGCCTGCAAAGCCCCAAATGGAATGTCTTGGTGCAATAATGCTGTCAATCTGATTAAGCAAGAGAGGGACAGAGCAAAAGACAAAGCACAGTGAAACCAGGCAAGTGCCTGGTGCACACAGCCCTTACCTTCAGCGTGGGGAAGCCAGTTATCCCAAAATCAGCGCACACTTGCTGGTTAGCTTCGTCAGCACAGTCGATGGCTGCCAGCATCACTGCAGGCCTCCACTCTGTGAGGAAAAAGGATGCAGTCAGCACAGATCAGCCTCTCTATGTCCCCAAAACTGCCATGCTCCCCACAGCTTCTGCAGAGACGGCAGGGATCTCCTGCTGCGCCAGCAACATGGTTCCTCTGTGCCCCGAAGTCATTGCTCGCCCCTCACGGGAAACTGATGGCTTCCAAGCCCCAAATGCCCAAGGCCATGTCCGAGCTAAAGCCTGGTGCCCTACTTTTCCGGCAGGAGGAGTGCAGGGGAAGCTGTGCGAGGCGGGACCAGGCTTTGCATGCCCTGCCCTGAGCGGCGCCAGAGTGAAGGCAGCTCTGCCCGCGGCTGCCATGGTTTCGCCCCCCCCAGCCTCTGCCCCAGAGGGAAGAGGCCACTGGGAGAAGAAGGGGAGGGATGGCTAACCACCACTGAGGGAGAGCAGGGAACATGGGCTTCAGCTCATCTCACCCCAAGGGTACGGCTGATAACCACAAGGAAACAACTCAAAAACTGTCGCCGAGTATCTGTTCCCCCTCTGTGACTTTCCACCACCACCTGCCTGGGGAGGACCAATAGGTCAGTGGAGTAAAACAGAGATGAAGAAAAGAGGGCATAGAGGCATTTCAAGCAGCAGGCTCTAAAAACCAGCACCAAAATGGAGATAAAAGCTCTGAAATGGCTTCTTTTTAGCATCAAGGATACAAGCTGGAGAATGCTCAGCCTCTCCTCTGAGTGGGATGGGGAGGGACATGGCGCCAGCACACAGATAGAGCCCATGCCACCCTAGGCAGGAGCCTGCTGAAGGTAAAGACCCACTGGGACTGTCCTCTGTCACAGGTGACAGAGCAGGCAAGCTGCTTCCCACTGCCCCAGCACCAGCAGTACAGGAGGGCCAGTGCCAAGCCCTGCTGCAGGGAACCAGGCACACTCCTGGACTTGCCTGCACATGGTGCCTGTGGGTCACCCTGGCCTCCTCCCTGGCCAGCCCACACCTGCGAAAATTCACCCATAAGAACAGCAGTAAGGATGGCAAGCGGCACAGGGGTGGCTTCCCTGTCCTGCCTTCACAAGTACCCCATCTGCAGGAGCCCTGGAGGGACCCCATTTTGGAGAGAGGCCAGAAGATCCAGCATTCCCTCAGGGGGCCTGGGAACGCACCCCATTCCTCACATCCTGCCCCATTGGGAAGTGCTGACGGCATCCCCAGGGAAGGATGGCATCCCCTCGGAGGGACGGGAAGCCTGCCCTGGCCGGTGTCCTGCCTTCACAAGTACCCCATCTGCAGGAGCCCTGGAGGGACCCCATTTTGGAGAGAGGCCAGAAGATCCAGCATTCCCTCAGGGGGCCTGGGAACGCACCCCATTCCTCACATCCTGCCCCATTGGGAAGTGCTGACGGCATCCCCAGGGAAGGATGGCATCCCCTCGGAGGGACGGGAAGCCTGCCCTGGCCGGTGCCCTGACTCACCCAGCAGCAACTGCGCTGCATCAATTAGCGCAATAACAGAGAGCAGCCATGAGCACCTTGAGATGCCGGGGC